ATCTGTACATTCCATATCCTTTCATAAGGCAAACATAAAAATGGGACATTTCCTGTTTGCCTGTCCATTGTAACAGAGATCAGATTACATAATGACAAAGTAATAAAAATCCTTCAGAAATTGTAGCTCAAGAGAGCCACATTATCATGAGAAGAAGTGAGAAAATAATCTTTGCACCCTAAAAACTGTTTCACTTTAACCAGTTAAACTGAATGTAAAGCCAGCATGATTTTTAGAATAAGAAAGATTTAAAGTAAAGTAGATGAACTTAATTACAAATATTTTAAAACATCACCTGGAGCACGAAGCCATCTCAATTTAGTTTGGATGATAATACTTAAAAAACAAAAACAAAACACCCCAAACCAGTATCAGTGGTTGTTAGAAAGCTAATCTTTTCTAGCTGGGTGTTCTGGAGGGCGCCTGTAGTCCCAGCTGCTTGCAAGGCTGAGACAAGAGAATCACTTGAGCCCAAGAGTTTGAGGTTGCTGTGAGCCATGACGCCACAGTACTCTACCAAAGGCGACAGAGTGAGACTGTCTCAAAAAAAAAAAGAAAGAAAAGAAAAAGCTAATCTCTTTTCAAGATAACTGATCAATAGATTCATTACTTTTTAACTACCACCTGATAAGGAAAAAATACATAGAACCTATTGGAACATTGTTTAATATATAATTATTTCATGATTTCAAAAAAAATCATTTTTAAATATTTTAGTTCTTACTGGTCCAAACATTTAAAAATGAACATTTTAGCTTTTCTTAACCTAATCATGTTTTTCTGCAAAGAAAAAAAACACTCAGAGTAATCATGTACATAAATTATGTAAACAAAACTGTACCAATACATACTTATTAGAAATAATTGCCATTGACCATTGTAAAATGTGCATTTCCATAATTTCTCTCCTCAATTTTACTTAACATTAAGTAAAATGTTAATCCCACAACATTATACAACATACCAATTTGAGGAATTTCCCTCTTTTATGCAATACTGATGAGCAGAATTCTTATTTAAGGAGACATGAAAATGTGCCATAAAAAATAATATTTGGATATAACCTTAAACAGGTACTTCTACTGGAAGTATAAAATATTGACATTTTACTGACATAAGAAATCCTCAAATGGAATTTTTTAGCTACCGTAAACCTATTTTTTAGGTCCAAGAATCTTTTAATATTTATTTAGGTTAAATAGGCTTCATTCCTTAACAGTTCTGTACTTTAATGTGGCTCAAAGGAGTAGGGCACCGGCACCATATACGGGAGATGGCAGGTTCAAACCTGGCCCCGGCCAAAAAAAAAAAAAAAAAAAATTTGGTAGATATTTTCTTTGGTATGTGTGATCAATGAAGATGTAAAGAATTTCCTCTGATACCACCAACACTGAGCTGTTTACAGTCAATACAGCAAACCAGATTAGTATCAATTTGTAGTTGGGAATGGATTGTCCAATTAAGTTCATATCTCATTAGACCTACCTCCAGATGCAATTTTGAAAAACTCATTTACACTTTAAGCTACACTTTTGTAAAACTGATACTAAACATAATAGCAGACATGTGACTATGCCTCAATTTGTAAACATAATTAACATACTTTCTCAAAATCAAGAAGCAAAACATAGACCCTACATTTCCATACTGTGCTGCCAGTTATTTCACATCATTCCCAGCTTTCTGCTAACTTCTATCCTGAATTGTTTGCTCTTATGTATATTTCTCATGAGACTAATAGCCTAGATTACAAAAATACTGGAGAGACTGAAGTTTCCAAAATTTTGTGGTTGTATGGTTAGGTTTAGAAGGAATGTACCTACATGGGCAGGAAGGTTGGGTGATGATGACTCCTCTATGAATAGTATTTCCTATGTGTACTTAGTGCCAATATGATATACCCGTTAGGTACACACAAAGCAAATACTAAAATTTATTTCTTACATTATCAATATGACCACCTGTATATGGAAAATAGTGACAATCTGTTGATATTATGATTTTATTAGCACTGTTAACAACTTTACGCTGCATTCATCTTCTTGTAATCTAGCAATATTCTAATTTATAAGAATTTAAGTTATCAATATCTAGTTGATATTTAAACAACTTGTTTCTAAAAAGCACTTTTAAAAAATTAAAGTAGTACAAATAAGTGTCTCAACCAACTTAGTGGTGAAACAATAACAATAATCATTCAACTTGAAAGATAAAAAAATCTCATGTTCAAACCATTTAACATAGCCATACTATAGAAAAATTGCCCTAAAATACTTAGATTCTCTTATAACTGGCATGACTTATTAAAGTTTTTAAAACTGGAAAACAAGTATGTAACTGAAATACTGATTTTTAAAAAAACAAACACATAAAACTTACTCTGTAATTCCAGATCAGAAATGGAGAAATCCTTGCCAGCCAGTGTTCATATAAATAGAATACTACTCCTAAAGACAGATACTATTTTTATTTACAAATGAACATGCAGAGAATTGAATGACACAACTGATTGTCAACAACTAAAGTACTAAAAAATGGACCCATACAAACCTCACAAAGTGAGGTAGGCAAAACACCCCACTTCATTAAAATATTCACAAAAGTAGTGCAAAATAATCTGAAAGAGGTTATTCTCAGTATTCCAGTGTCTAATAAATAATTATAATTAAAGCTACTAAACGGAATTTGAGAATATAGTTTGGAAATAATAAGCTTATATAGCTGAGACTACCTCATTTAGGACATTGTATGCGTTAAATGACATGGTTACCATTCTGCAATGTAATGATAAGCTTAACACTATAAATCTTTATCAGTCACATACAGAAATATTGCTTGTATCTGTTCTCAGCATAAGAGTCAATCACTTTGTCTACATTAGAAATTAATAGGATCAAATTTATTTAATGTCTATTTTCCAATATCCCATTGTGCAATATAATTTATTTGCCACCATGGTGACTGAAAACTGGCTGATTTAAAAATTACTTTAAAATATCTAGAAACACTGATCAAAGCCATTTATTTCACTGGGTTTATTTTACATTAAATAAATCCCCAGAAATATAATTAACTATAAAATGGCAGCATACAACTGTTGTGTGGCAGAAAAATAGTAAGGCATAAGTTAGAATAAAGAATAATGTATCTAATGTATGTACCCATCTATCCATATAGATAGATTTCAACACTTCCCCATCTATCTTTTTTATTCTTTTTTCTGAATTTAATACTTTTTGTAATATACTAGGTTCACCATCTACTACTCCAGAATCTGCAGAAATGGAGAGGGTTATGTACCACATTTATCAGAGTAGCATAAAAGCAGGCAGTGGGGTTGTTGATATGCATTTGACAGGAAACTGGGTTTGATTCTGACTCTGCTTTAGTTATGTGGTCTTGATCACATCACAACTTTTTGAGCCTCATTTTCCTGAAGATGAGTGTGGATGCAGAGGGGATGTGGGAGACTAGCTAGATATCTTCCAGCACGGAAATTCTGGTTCCATAGTAAATAGGCACAGAAGAGTGAATTGGAATGGGGTGGTGGTAAAGATCAGGATTTAAAATTATAGCCATTTTCCCCTCAGCGTCTTAAGATGTTTTAATGTTTAAAAATCTTACTTGCAACTTAACATTTTACTTTACATTTTAGTTTGTTCTCTAGTAATTAATGTCATAGAGAAGAGTTCTCCAAACCTTCAGATATTTCTTTGTATTCCTTAATCCAACCTGGCATAGATGGCATCAACCAAATTGTTTTATTATAGAAAACAAGTATTTCCTCTCTAATATCTTCTCTGTAGATAGATGGACTTTTTATGGTAATAAGAATAAAATAAAAGGGGGCGGTGCCTATGGCTCAAAGGAGCAGGGCGCCGGCTCCATATGCCGGAGGTGGCGGGTTCAAACCCAGGCCCAGCCAAAAACTGCAAAAAAAAAAAAAGGATAAAATAAAAGGTTGTTAAAGTCTGAAGTATAAATATTGCTAGCATATGTTTGTAACAGCTATTATATATCAGAAATAAAATTTTAACTAAACTCTAATAAGTGATGCAAATGCCTATCAAAAATCTCTTAGAAAATTTGACTTCCAGTTTGTTAAACTAATTCATTTCATTTTAACTTTCTCTTGCATAAGAAATCTGCTCTTAAGATCCTAAATGCAAAATGAAATGTTTCTTCACTTGGGCCAAATCATATCACTTAAAAGAATGGGAAAAAAAAAGTTACAGAGTCATGAAACATTAATGGGTATGCATACATACAATATATGTACATATATACACACAGATAAATGAAATCCTCTAAGATGAAAATCATTTAAAACCAGCTTTTCAGGTATGATGTAAGATTTCTAACCAGAGGAAAATTTTATATTTATTATATCTTTTGCTATAATTTGGCATTATTTGGTATTTCTTTTGTGCTTTAACTAAAATCATGCTAGATTTAGATGCCAGTAAATGCGCAATTTGTTGAATTAAAAACAGTTCTTTAGGCTCCTAAATAAACCTTGTATTTCTGCCATAAAGTGACTAACTTACAGCCAAAGCCAAGATCTCACTCCCAGATAAGTACAATGCCTCTTTCCTTATATACCTGAAACTTTGCCCTCTTTAGCATGTTATAAACTTTTATACCTCATTTATTTTGGCTGTTTTAAAATTCTTTTCCTTTGACATCCCTTAATTAAATTAAAAGAAATAAGGGATTGCTAAAATATGTCTCTGTGATATATACATATACACATCATATATATATATAAACACACACAATCAATCGTCAACTTAATCTTTACCACAGACTTTGGCAATGTTGTAGATACTAGTTCAGGTTTTAGTTTTCCATTTTCATATAAGATGAAAAATGTTATAGACTACTAAATTCAAACAAGCATCATTGTTCTTAGATTCTAACAGAAACTCTCTCTTTTAAAAAAAATGTTCTTGCAATAAAAGGGGAGATTTTTAGGTGTGAGAAAAAAAGGCATTTTTCTGTTTATCAAAATCTATTGTAATTTTAATTGGTAGAGATAAAATTTTAAATTTTGTTAGGCAAATACTTGCTTTCTATAAATTCAGTATATTTTTCTTTCACAATAATAAAGTAAAAACATCTACATGTACACAGCACTAATAGCTCTGATGTATTCTGTGGAAGGATAACTTATAGCAGTTCAAGTCACAATATACTAATTTTTAAAAACTGAATACATTCCCTTCTTTTTTAAACATTAGTGCCTGAGACCCAGAAGAGGTTACAATAAAATCTTATTCAGCCAAATCAGAACTAATTTTAACTGATAATGCATTTTTTAAGCCTTTCAGCAGTTACCAAATGCTACTTACATACATTCAACATCTAGCTTACTGGCATGATTTCCAAGTTTTATAAAAATGAAAAACTTTGCAGATATATGATTAGAATGTACACAAATTGCATTACATTAAACACAAAGGCAGTGTGGTCCTTGTAGGAGAAATCAAGTCAGTACCCCCTGGTAGAATGTTCTATAAAAATGTGTCACATTGAAGCATCAGTGTTTTCAGCCAATTATCTCTCCCTGATGTATTTCCTTGGAGTATGTAATCTATCCGGACTTCAGGTTTCTTAATCCAAAATATCTGACTGAATTTAGGTACATCTAGAAAGCAGCTGAAAGGGTTTCTCTAATAGTCTAATGTCACAGAAAGTGGACTGAGAAATCCCTCTCTTTACCTGAAGATGTACTATTCTATTTCAGTCATCATCAGCTCACAAAGGAAAAGAAAAAAACAAAACCTCCCCTCACACTTAACACAATCTAAATAAAAACCACCCCTCCCCCCACAAAACCCCAGCACCAAAGTGTCAGTCATTCCTGGGAAATAGAACTTGCCCCTTGGATTCTCTGATTTGTTAGCTGTTCAGATTTTAAGGACAGAAATGATCTTATGTCCTTGTGGGGAAGAGGGAAGACATGTTAATAATGACTATAGAGCCACTGACAAAGTGCATTATCAATTACACAATCAACTTGGAGCCCTGCCCTCTAATGAAGGTGGTCACGATTTAAATGCCTCACTATTTGAACATTTATGTCCTTGGGATAAAGGAGATGGGGGGAAAAAAGAGCTACCCTCATTTTGATGAAAAAGTGCAGCACTACCACCTTTCCCCATGGTTTTCTAGAAAATGATTGCACAGACTCAGAGAAGTCCAAAGTCATAGCAGAATCTCTGAGGCACTCCTGGTTAAGAAAGAAAAAATATGATCCAGTAATCTTCATAGTTCTGTAGATTATGAGAACAAACCCGTTTTGTTTTGTTTTTAAGCAAAAGCCAAAGAATCATTTCATAGGGATCATATACACCATTTCCTCTTACATATCCTCAATCTCACAGTGTTGAAATGGGACCGATCAGCCTACGATGGATTGCACATCACCCAAGGAGAAAGGAAGGCATGGAAAAGGCAAACATTTTATACTGCTTCACAAACACATTTACAAGGAAAGGTGAAGGGAAGATATAGGAAGGAGGGAAAATAAAACCTTATTGCTGTTTCCATACAAAAAAATGGTATGAAGATACCTAAACTAAATCAAATCTGATTATGGTCACCAGTATTTTCACAATGTGTGATGAAGTGTCTTCTTGCACAACGAAATACGTTCAGTTTAAAAGGTAAGCAGAAAGAGGAGAGAGGATGTCAAAACTACACCTGGGATATTAGCTGCATATTGAAACTTGGGGATCGAGACTGCTTGGTTAAGGGGGCTCCTGGACTGAGGAGCTCTTTACCTTCACCAGCTTGACCTAGCCGGTCTTCCTGTAGACTGATAGTTGAGTATCGATTAGCACTGTGAGCTGCTAAATTAGTAACTCCCTCAGTGCCAACCCCAATGCTGGTACTTGCTTGACTGCCATTTACGTAGTCAAATGATTTACTTGAGGAAGCACTGGCTGTCCGGATTAGACTTATACTATTGGTTTTTGGCACCACCTGGCCAGCAGGCAGGCTCAGGTGTTTTTTCATCGGTGTCAGCTCAACTGAATCTACACTAAGATCAGCTGGTTGCTGTATATACTGCTTGCGAACTACTGAATCTCGAGGGCTCTCACTGGATTTGAGGGCAGAGGCTGTTTCTTTATCCTTGGCTGAACGCCCAGTTGCTACTTTCCTTAAGCTTCCCCTCTGAGAAGAAGAGGATGGTTTGGTCCCAATTGGCTGACTGCTGAGGGAAGCCCCTGATGAAAATCCTTCATCTGCATCATTTAGGTTTACAGACTCCTCTCCTCCATTTACACCCTCAGCACCTAAAAAAACAAATCAGACAAACTCAGCAGTAGTTAAATTAAGTAACATCTGTGCATAACAACAGTGACCTTATCTTTTGAGTAATAGTTGCTATAGTTTGGCAATAGCTCCATTATCAACACTGCCACTAAATAGAGGAATAAATCTTAATCTACACAGAATTCTAATATGCTATTCATTCTGTTAATTCAGCTTTAGTCTAGCTTTTGTAGAACTACCCAGAAACATTTAGTAACTATCAATATTTAAGCACATAAAACTAGGTAAAGTAACAACTTTTTTTAACATAAATCCTTATAATATATGCTATAATTCACTTGCAATGACCATATCTATTTCTTTTTTTGTTTGTTTTTGAGACAGAGCCTCAAGCTATCCCCCTGGGTAGAGTGCAGTTGCTTCACAGCTCACAGCAACCTCCAACTCCTGGGCTCAAGCGAGTCTCCTGCCTCAGCCTCCCAAGTAGCTGGGACCACAGGCGCCCGCCACAACG